TGCCATTCGAAAGACTCGGGTCGAAATCCTGGTGAATAAAAACTTAATTGAAACAAAAAATTATTCTTCTTACATAAAATAAAAGCTCCTCATAAGAAACCATCAGCCGTTCGGATGAGAATTAGAATAAACTGCAGGTCCCTACATTTGTTCGAAAAACTTCCTGTTAATCTAAGTGAAAAGACACCTCTCAGACCTACTGATTAAAGACTTCGGACTACAGCTCTTCTTTTTTGTTGCTTGCTTATTGCATTTTGAACAAAAAAATTCAGTTTTTCATGGAAATTTATTTTGAGTAAGATTTTTCACTAAAAAATTCCTTTCCTTGCAACCAACGTAATTACTTCACCGTTAGCTTTTCAGCAGCCCACTATATCAAACTTAAGCCGACCAACAATTTAAATTAACAAAGTCAACAACAAAATTTGCAACCAGCGAATTAAATTAACCAACAACTATAACAATAATGATAATAATTGCAAGATTTAATTATTTTCACAATTTCCATAAAATATGCGAGTACACACATGTATGTTATATGTATATATATACAACATATTTATATATTTTTTTCCACATTTTTATGTTATTGTTTTATTCCAATTTGTTGCACATCATGTTGCTGATTCAGACAGTTATTGGGTATGCTGTTTTTGTTGTTTTTTTGTTGTTCGCCAAGTTTTTGCTGTTGTCCTAAATGTAACAGTTGTTGCCGATGCAAGCCGACTATTGTTTTACGCTTGTTACTGTTGCCAACAATTACGTTGTTGTTGCTATAAATTTTATTGCTATAAATCATGTACAGATTTTAACGTGTTGAGCACACATTTTGAAATACATACGACAAGCAAAAACAAATATACATGTGCTTATTGTACGTACATTTTCATTATATATGCCACACATATATGTATGTATATATATGTATGTATGCATGGTAAGGTGTATACATATGTATATATTATAGGTATATATAAATTTAACTGAGCGTAAGTATAATTTATGTGGCATACACACACACACACACACACACACACACACACACACACATACACACACAGACAGAAACAGATGAAACTTAAAGCGCAAATATTTAAACGTTGCAAATGATTTGCATTCCAAAATGAGCAGCTTTCATTGCACCCTCGCGTGTGTGTGTGTGTGTATGTGCCTGTATGTGTACAGTTAAGTTTGCAGTGGCGCTCATGAGTAGCTCTGTATTTTCGAACAAATTTTAATTTTCCATAAAATATTTTATCAATTTGAAGCGGTCCAAACGTGCAAAAAGTAATATATATAATGCACGTATGTATGTATGTATAAATTAAATACTCTAATTACGCATTTATTTAACTGCTATTATTTAGTTTTTCACACCGCCGTAATGGGTCACCCTTATGCGTTGGCAATGTGCAACCAATTTGTGGTTTTCATTTTTCATTTTCCATGTTTTTTCTATTCTGTTTTGTTTTTGTTGCGAAAAATGCACTTAATTCATTTCATTTATTTTAAATAGACAAGCGCGTATTTATATGTACAAATTTTTTACCAACAAAGTGTGTTGATAGCAACATTAATGAGTAAGGGTTTGGCTTTAGATTTGCATCAAATTTTCGTTGAAAAAAAAAAAAATATTCAACAAAAACACAGTAAACCTCGCCAACAAAAAACTTATAACAGCCTAAACTAGGAAGCTACATAGTAGTAGCTAAAAGGTGTTTTTCCCAAAAAGCGAAAACAAAATAATAATTAAATGGAATAAATTTCAAAGAAAGATTGTGGCATTTTCGTCTCCACTAAGGAATTTATATTGGTTTTTTTTTTTATTTCTAAAGGTGCATTCCAAAGTAAAAAGAACTTTTTGAATTTAGCGCCCTTTAGTGGCGCCATCTATATGTCTGCTAACCTTTATCGACTTCCAATAAAAATTTCATGACATTTCATCTATTGGAAGTGAAGTTATTGCATTTTAAGTGTCAGTATGTTTTTGTCAACGGTGCGAAAATGAGCTTCGAACAAAGATCCAAAAAGACCCGAACTTCCTTTAACAGATTCTGACTGGTGACGAAACTTGGTGTTTTCAATGTGGTCACGAAACGAAACGCCAAAGTGCTGAATGGATGGCGCCGGACGAGCCGAAACCCTAAAAATCGCGCCTCGAGAAGTAAAAAGTAAAGACAATCAGCATTGTTTTTATGATTCCAAGGGTATTGTCCACAAAGAATTTGTTCCAGCCGGCCAAAACGTTAATGCGGTATTCTACCTTGGAGTTTTGAAGCGTTTGGTGCCGATCATTGGACCAAATATCACATTTTAACAATCAACCACTCCCCGTATTCACCTGATATGGCACCGTGCGACTTCTAACTTTTCGGAAAAATTCATTTGCCGATGAAAGGAAAGCGTTATGCAGACGTGGAGGCTATTCAAAAGGCTGGATGCTCAATGTATGGGTGTTCCTGTGTTTGTTGAAGAAGAGTCTCTCTTTTATTTAGTTTAGGATAGCATTAAATTTTTTATTAAAGATATTTTTTAAATAATGCAATTTTTCTTAATTATGGTATTGTGTTAAATTATCTTTTTGGAAATATGGCAAAACATATTTTATACCGAAAACTCGGGCTTCCTAGATAAGACAGGTTTCAAGGTTTTTACCGATTATTACATATATTTAAGAGTACAATACTACTTCGAGCGGCACGGTAGTGCTAACATCAGAGTTTGTAGTTATGTATGTAAGCACATAGTACATGTATCTTGAGCAAACTATTGTATAAATATACGCTTATCAGCAGTCAATTGTGATTATAGCGATTGTGATTCCACGAAGTAGCGCCGTAAAAAAATAATATCAATAGTTTCTAATTCTAAATAAGCTTTCAAAAGTATTTGAATTATTGATAAATGACTAAAATTATTAATCATATTATTGAGAGCGAAATTTCACAAAATATATACCCGAGTATATACATACATATATACAAGTATCTGAAAAATAATCTTGTCAAAATATATATATTAAAATATTAATAAAAAATAAAAATAAAAATGTAAATAAAACAAAAATTAGTATAAAAAAAATAAGAATTAAAATATAAACAAAACAACAAGCAGTATATAAAAAATAAAAATAAAAATAAAAATGTAAATAAAACTAAAATTAGTATATAAAAAATAAAAACAAAAATATAAATAATAATAAAAATAAAAATAAAAATAAAAATGTAAATGAAACATTAATCAGTACATAAAAAATAAAACTAAAATCAGTACATAAAAAATAAAAATTAAAGTCTAAATAAAACAAAAATTTCAAGAGTTTGTGTGCATTTTTTACATGTAATTCAGTTGGCAAATAATTTTTTTGTTTTCTGTTCCGGTGCGTAGATGTATAGAGAAGATGGTTTTCGAACTCATGAGCACGTCACGTATAGCTGGTCGTGTGAAAAACATGGAATTTGCAGATTTATTCCATCCACTTTCAGGCGGCTATCCTTGTGCTAATTGATTGTCGCATTGAAAATTTTTTTACTAACCTCATTTATATATTTTTAAAAAATTATATTTTTTTCTGATAGATTTTAATAAAAAAAAATTAAAAAAATATTTGTATGAAAAAAAACTCTATTTGGCATATATCTTCTTCTTGTTTACAGCTGGTTAAGCGTTTTTAGTTTAATGAATGACAATTTCACCAAATTAACTCACGCTTTGCGTGGTCCAAAATACGGAAATATATTTGTTATTTTTTATATATCATCATACAACAAAATTGTGAGCCAAAAATCACTCGCATGCGATAAAATGCATAAGCGACGAAAATATATTTTATGGAAGGGCGAACAAAAGTCTCTTTGAAAATAGGTCGCTAGGCACTAAAACATCACGTAAGTATGTATGTACAAAAACAACAAAAAACAACATATGTACATACCATACCATACCATCTGCTACTTGGCAGAGAAAAAAGATATCCAGCTAGCAAGGTCAAGTGGAAAATGTGTAGAAATTTTCAAGTAAATATCAATGTGAATATGTACGTATGTTTGTATGTACCTACATAGAAAAATAATCAACGAAAAATGATGAGTGAAATTTTCTAGTGTTTTAACAGCGCATGTACTCGTATGTTTGTATGTATGTATGTATGAATTTTACCTGCATTAGCGCTACACCGCTGCTATGCCATGACTCACTGGCGCCGTGAATAATAAGTAAAAAGTGTAAATAAATCAAATAAAACAACAATTAACATACATTCGCTTTATAAACATACATATGTACTCGTATGTAAGTTTGTACAAACGTATGTATGTAATTATAAATATGAGCGAGAGATAGCAAGCGAACAGCAAGCGATGATATTAAAATATGTATTCAAACGTATACACGTACTTACATACATACAAACATACATATGTACATTTAATAAAGCAGATATAAATTTAATAATACTTATATGCAAGTAGAAATGAATATACACATATACAATGTAAATATGTAAGCAAATTTATATATACATTTAAATAATTTAATGAGCATAATCATTTTATTTAATATAATATTTTTGTACTCATACTCAGGCCGTCAATAACTCACTCATACACTTGGTCACGCAGAAAAATACAAAAATTAAAAAAAAAAAAAGATTTACTTGGCAATTTATGCATAAAAAAATCACTCAGGTTGCATGAAATGGAGAGCGCATGGGAGAGCAAAAATAAGAGAGAGAGTGTGAGAGGAAGAAAGAAAAATAATTCACACCTAAAATTTTCTCAGTTTCTTATAAAACAAAATATTTAAAACCTCATACGCTTAGAGTGTTACTATTATTAGCCACCACTGTGCCAACACACGATCAGTGCTCGTCTAGAGTGAGACCAACGGCAGCACGAAGCATTTCAATTCAAGACAACATTTTATGAGTGCAAAAGAGTCAAAGCGTCCCAAATGACTGCCAAACTAAAGCGAGTACACTACCGCCTGCGTTCACAAGTAAAAAGTATCTTTGTATCTCAACACTGCGCAAACTAAGTAAATTCTCTACACTAGCGTCCGACACGCTCGACGCTATATGTACATTGAGTATTTGTTGCTTAGTTTCAGCAGTGTTTCCAAAGCGTTTGGGTGTGTTTTCGATCTACTAAACTTGTCGGACTGTCGTCGCTCGGTGTCGCTGTATCGGCCACTGCAAAGATTGAGAGTTTATTGGAAAAAAAAAAAAATAAAAGTTAAATTTGTGTGTGTGTAGAAGCAGAAAAAAACGAACGAGAAAAAATATTGGCAATATTTCAAGAAAAATAAATTATAAAAATAATAATATTATTATATGTACATACATATGTATATATGTACATATACACGAAAGGTGGCCAAGTGACGCGCATATTGTTGACATTGATTGTGTGACGAGCCGAGGCGAGGCAAAGCAAACAAAAAATTACCAAATAAATTTATGAATTTTAATTTAAATATAACAATTGTGTAATCACAATAACAACAACAAAGTGGCAACAAAAAAGTATGGCAAAAACTAGTTGACTGCCGAGACGGACTAAAAGTGAATTAAGCAAAAAAATTGGCCGAAAGTGAAAAAATCGTGAAAAAATCAGCCAGTTCTATAAACACACAGGCACTCACACATTAAATAAATTATAAAGTATACATGTATGTGTATATAGAATTGTGTGTATATGTACGAGTGAACGAGTGAACGAGTGAACGAGTGAACAAACGAAGCGATACACAGATATTTGCTGACTAGTATAGCCCCCCCACCCCAACCGCAGTAAAAGTTGCTAGACACGTCAACTCCAACGCAACAACACACACACACACACACATACATACATACATACACGCAATACGACAAAGTAGATATAAAAAACTGGTCAATCAAGCAGATAATTCTAAGAATTCGCTGCAGAAAATTAAAGAAAAAAATTTAATATTAATTAAAGCGTGCAAAAAATACTAAAAAACAACAACAACTACAACTACCGCCTTCAGGAATTGTAGCAGTTGCCTAAGACATTAAAATAACAACAATAAAAAAATTTGAGTTAACCGTTTCATAGCAGCTAAACAACTAAAACTTAGCGAACTCACCCAACAACCCCACACGTTTCCACCACAAACACCAACCAGCCGTTTGCCCTCCGCCAAAAGATCCTGAACAAACCGACAACCATTGACATACAGACAACATGCAAGCCATCAAGTGTGTCGTCGTCGGTGACGGTGCTGTGGGTAAGACTTGTCTACTCATCAGTTACACCACAAATGCCTTTCCCGGCGAGTATATACCCACCGTGTTCGATAATTACTCTGCCAATGTGATGGTCGATGCGAAACCAATCAATTTGGGTCTCTGGGATACAGCCGGGCAGGAGGATTACGATCGTCTACGTCCACTTTCCTATCCACAAACGGACGTCTTCCTCATTTGTTTCTCGTTGGTTAATCCAGCCTCCTTTGAGAATGTACGCGCCAAATGGTATCCCGAAGTGCGTCATCACTGTCCCAATGTGCCGATCATTTTGGTCGGCACGAAGCTGGATTTGCGTGATGATAAAGCGACTATTGAGAAATTGAAGGAGAAGAAGCTCACACCCATCACATATCCACAGGGTTTGGCGATGGCGAAGGAGATTGGTGCTGTTAAGTATCTGGAATGTTCGGCGTTGACGCAGAAGGGTTTGAAGACGGTTTTTGATGAGGCTATACGCTCGGTGCTGTGTCCGGTAATGCGTGTGAAGCGTTCGCGCAAGTGCGCGCTGTTGTAAGCAGGCGGAGATTGCTAAACATTAACTACATACGTATATGCATATGCATACACGTACATATAAGAAACAAGTGTGGCGTGTGCGCAGGTTTTATGCGAATTCTGAAGAGGTAGAAGAAGAAGACAGGCGAGCAGACAAGGTCGCGTTGATTTTTTGCTTGACTTTTGCAGGAAAAAAATTTGTTTAAGGCAAAATGCCGCACTATGTATAATAAATGAGAAAAAATATATATGTATTTATTAAGTGAAAAAAAATATTTTCTACTTTTTGCCGTGTGAATTATGCCACATAAATGTGCAACAACGTCATGAAGATGTAGAAAATGTTGACGAAATATTGTAAAGGAAAGTAGAGGAAAATCAGCATTAACATTTTATTAACTCATTATTGCACCTTTTCTACAGTGAATACAGATTTACACTGACTACGTACATACAAACATATATATCTAAAAACGATGTCTCTAAGCACATGCAACAATCGGAGTTTTTTCTTGGAATTAAATTTTTTTAATTTTCCTTTTTTTTTTAATTTAATTATTTTAAAATCAACTTTTTCTCACATGAAATGAAAAATATGCTGTATAAGTATGTATCTACAACGTGCATACAAAGTGTGTGTTGGTTGTAAAATAGCAAAGAAAAAAAAATAATAATATTAATATAAATATGTACATACATATATGTATGTGTTTTTGTATTTGTATTTATATGTTAGATAGATATACTCTTATGTATGTACATACATATAACAAAAGCCAGACCAAAGCAGTTAAGCTAAATTCGATTCAATACAGAATTCGTCAGCGTTTATCTCATACCACAGCCGAGTCGAACAGCTGGATCTTGGGAGAATGTGTGTGTGCAAAGTGAGAGCGAACAATTTCAATTTACATGCATACACATGGTACATACCTATTGCTTTATATATCGAAGTAATTAAATATAAAAAAAAAATTGTTTTTCCCTCAAGCGATTGAATGCTGCTGAGAAGTGCTCATATCTGAAATATGTCAAATTTTCTATGAAAAATAATATTAAAATAAATTATTATTATTAATTTGAAAATTTTATATTTATACAAATTCAAGCAAGAATTCAGTTTAATCGCCAAGAAGTCGACACAAAAGTTATAATTTATTGATGTAAAATGTTTTAAAGATTTTAAATTTTCAAATTAAAATTAAAAAGTTACAACATAAGAAAAACAATAAATTTACAATAAATATATTATTAAAATTAATTTTTGCTACGTATCAAGCAGTGCTCGATACTCGTTTGTTCATCAAATGTAGCGAGCTTTTGAATGTACCGTGTAGCAGTACCAGCATTTCCCACACAATTAAAAGTTTTATTTAAAATTTCAATAATTTTTGTATTTTGCATAAATAAATTTAAAAATGTGTGAAAATTGCGGTAAAAACAAAAAACATTTTGCAAAAAAAAGGTCGAAAAGCTTCAATTTGAGCTTTATTTCATTCAACATACACTCGCTATTGTGACGTCAGCAGCACAGCTGCTACGCTTAAATATAAAACTGTCGTAAACATGAACATGTGTGAAATCATCACCATCCACTTCCACCCCCACCATCTGCTGAAGTAGAGCTACTAAGAGTAATGGAGTTCAAAGCTCTCAAGTGGCTTTTTGAGATTAATAATTAGAAAAAAAATTTGCAAGCAATAAATAATTTAGCCTCATGCTTACAACACTGAGAAAACTCTAGCAACAAGCTTAAATTGCTTAGGAGCTTTTTAACGTTTTCTCCCCTTAATTATTGCCAAATTTTCAGCGCCAAATTTGATATTATTCTAAGTTGGGAAATAATTATTAAGATCTTGAGGCAAATTGTGTGAGAATTACAATTTGAGAGCGGCTTTATAAAGAAATTATTTATTTTTGATGCTTTGACAAGACTTTTAAGCTATCTAAGCTCTTTTTGTCTCTGTTATGTGCGGTTTATGGACAACATTAAGTGTAATCTTAAATATAGACAGTTGGTGAATTAAAACCATTAAGATTATTTAAAAAACTTTTTATTGTGGTTTAATACGCTATAAGTTTTTAAGCCCCATTAAAGCTATTACCAAAAATCTTTAGCTTTTGGACTTTTGATTACGTGGTATTTCGTGAAAGCTCATGCTATTTGAATTGCTTTAAAGCTGATATTGCAGCATCGGGTATCCAAAGCTTTTAGTCTTAATTACATTTTATATTTGAGCTTTAAAGGGAATCACACAGAATCTGTTTAATTCTAAAATACCTAAAATACTTAGCATAAAAGTCACATCATATTTTGGTGAAAGCTCAGCTAGCAAGCTTTTTATGCAAAACTATAGAAGTGATGAGTATAAAAATCTTTTTATTTCTTTACTGCTTATGCTTTGAGTAACCCTATGCCTTTAAAAAAAAAAAAGGGTAATTAACTTGAGCTTTTTTGAAGGACAATTTCCGTTCGTAAAAAATAAACTGAGAGGTCAACGTTTGTTGACAACTGAAGAGGCGGTTGATGCCTGCAAGAGTACATAGATCTCAAAGCAGCATATTTTGAATAGCAATAAAGTGATTTTCGATGATTAATATTTGTTTTTGTTCTCTAATCATAAAATATTATAGGCAACGCTTAGATATCTCAGCTGACTTTTTAATTGATCTCTACTCCTACGTCTTACAATCACAAAAAGTGTGGAGTACACGTAAAATCCGACTGATATAACTGCTCAGCGAATCGAACTCGCATCGGATGATCACGAGGCTTCTATTCTTCGACCAATCGGGCTTTATAAGCTGAGGTCTTTTTACGAAATCTTTCGCGAAGAAGTACACGAAATGTTTAATATCTACCTTCAGTTTGAGTTACAGAAACAATATTTTCCTCAAAACGCATTAGACAAGCCACAATGGGAGCTTTTAGTTCGATTTCGTCCGAAACTCTTTCGTAAGCCACAAGCCTTGTGATGAATATTTGACATATAGGGAATGTCATTGACGCTGCCAAAGCTCTTTAAGGCCGCAATTCAAAAAGTAACCGGTAGATGGCTCATACGTAATGTCTAAAACTTGCTGCATTTCCGATAAATAATTAAATTTCTGTGTCTTAAGACACATACAACACCGGTAATAGCTGTTGTATATATATGTAAATGAATATATGTATGATTTAAAAATTAATGCCTAGACACAGATAAATAATTTATGGGCTTTCGCTGTCGGATAAGGTTGGTCAGACTAGTAAATCAGTTGATAGTTGATGTCTACTATCTTTTGGATATATATCTGTTTGTACCTACTTATGTATACACACGATTATATATAATAACTATATTATGCCTCAAGAACGCTCATACCTTTGTACATACATATCTATATGCATACAACATATGCCACATCTGTTCGGTATTTAGTGAGGAATTTAAGTAATTTACGGTTTTTAACCTCACAAGGTCAGCGACGTTCAATTCATTTAATTGATGGCCGATAAACGCCAGCACACACTCACACAAACACACACAGAAGCGAGGAAAACTATGTACATATGGACGCTGGTGGTATTAAGATCTAGTGAAAACTTATTTACGCTGCTCAATAAGCAAACAGAATTTATTTGCTGTTGGCCAACATGTTTCGTACAAGAAAAACAATAACTAAATAGAAATAAATTTTCACGATTAACATTTCCTTCTGGCAAATGTTGTACGAATTCCGGGAAACAACTAAATGGATTTTTTATACTTCCATTCTTTTTTTTTTTGTTTTTTTTTTTCTTTGTTGGTCTGGTTTTTGTTAGCGCCGTTTAATTGAGAAACAAATTTATAAGCTAATTAGCGCACTAGGCAAATGCATACGCACAAATATGCAAAAAAAAATTTATTTAAAAATTAAAAAAAAAATAATAATTCAATTAAATATTTAATACAATTTATAGAGTTAAAACATTAAATAATTTTATATAATTGAAAATTCTATTTATTTATTAATTTCTGATTTTTTCTTGGAATTCCTATCAAAAAGCAGAGCATTCTCATTTATATTGTTTAAGAAACTCATTGTTGAATTTATTTAAAAAAAAATGCATATGCAAATTAAATTAAATTCCCAAATATTTTTTGTACGTATGTACGTCTTACATACATATGTATATCGTGCGATAATAATTAAAAAAAAAAAATAATGACATTAAAAAAACTTAAAACTAATAAAATGAAAAAATTATAGTTAATAATTAATAAGCGTTCGTTCGTTTCTCCGCTGTCTTCCCTGCGTACTAAAAGTATATACATATTTGTATGTAACTAAGATATTCAGTCAAGCTGCATTTCTACACTGTTTGTGCAATTAAATGCTTATGTTAATAAAAATTAAGCAATTTTAGTAAAGAACATTTTTATTTTAATTATTTTAGTTATGCAAAAAAAATATTTTAAAATATTTAAAAACTAAAAAAAATTTAAATTAATAACAAACAAATATAATTATAATTTAAGTAATCTGCAATCGATGTATGTATATTTTTTTATAAAATAAAAAAATACTAAGCTAAATAATTTTATTAATAAAAGGAGAAATTACAAAAAAAAAACTCTATGTTTTCCTTCACTTTTTCTATTGGTTTTGGCTAGTATTTTTTGGAATTTATTTAAGTTAAAGGTAATAAAATGTAATAAAACTCAATATAAAATTCCAATAGGTAAGTATGAAACAAGACTGAAACAAACAGCTAATTTTCGCTAGCGGTTAAAAATTCACTTTCCACATACAGATATGTAATCAACTTGGCTTATAAGGCGGCAAGAACCCTTCCAAATGACAAGTTTCATAAAAGATGAAAAACATGACTTTAGAGCGATACTTATGCCCACCAATCAGTAATTCATAAGAGAGAGTGCTCCGAATATCAGCAAAGTCTAAAAGAAAAAGAAGAAGTCCAAAAGACGCAACTCTGCATGGAAAAGGTAAACTATTATGCAAAAGTTCTACTGGTATTTTAAAGAAGAAATCATACTACTTTGTTGTTAACCAGAATTATACTAGTATTTTGCGGAAAAATCTGTACTCGGTTGTAAGAATTGTGGATATACCACAACTAGAATTTTGCATAAAAATTCATAACAAATTGGTGGTTTTGCAAAAAAAAATGCGAGACTCAATATTAACTCCGACCACACATTATTAAATTTGCTGCTACAGCAAAAACAACAACCACATTTGATTTTCATATATATTTTTTGTTTAATTTTCAAAAAATATGAACAGTCCATATAAAACTTTCAGTACATAGATCGACATCTGACCCACTTCCTGGAAAGAAATAATTTACTACACCTCCAGTGAAGTGAAACTTAAGTGTATTTTTCTTTCCATGAAAGGAATTCTTCAAAAACTTTCTAAAATCAAACTGAGCACACACAAAAAAATTCATTAAAATCATTAGAATCGGTTCAACCTGAGCCGGAATCAATCGCACTGGTTTTTGACAAATAGGAAGCCGATTAAACTGAAGCGAATTAGTTTTCAACTGGTATGAACGAGCCAGTATTTCAACTGGTATTTAACTGGTATGACGCTGGTACATAAACAGACAATCGAAAGTTCATGGGATATCGCGGAGTTCAAAATACCAGTTGCTTGCATGAAAAAATATGAAAGATGAACTAGTTGGTATAAAAATGTAAACTAGTTGAATTCTAGTTTACAACCAGCATTTTTCCCTCGATGGAATATTACAACGGGAAGAGAAACTCGGTCTAAAATCACTCCTAAAGCAAGTGTTTTTTTTTTTTTTTTTTTTTTTTTTTTTTTGTGGAACTACGCGAAAGACCCAGTTTATTTGTATAAAACTTCAACTCTTGAGCATTTGAAAACCAACATTCGGCAAGTTATGACCCAATATGTGCCAAAAAGCGTGCGAAATTTACCTCAAACGGATCGAAATTTGCAAAAATTTGCGAGTCGGTCATTTGAATGCGGTAGTCTTTTACATATAATGCCAAGGCTCGAACCTCATAGTAAAAATTGAATGAGTACAAATTTTTTAAATACATTTTATATACATATGTAAGTTTATTTTCGAAATAGTAACACTGATAACCTGTAAAAATTATTTCACTACCAGTGCTTTTCTGATTTCTTTCATTCTTTGCAGAAGCAGTACTCACTTATCTAAGATGACATGGCTTTTATGAAGCAAAATTCCGTATAAGTAGTTTGATAAGATTAGCTAAATCGAGTGTTTATGGTAAAAATAAAGAATTATCAAAATTTTTTCAATATTCAATAAACTTTCTTTTATTGTTATATAATTGTAAGGAGAAAAATATTGTCTAAATTTGCTTTAAGTCCAATATTAATCATTTCTCCGCTGGGAATTTTTAAGTAATTTTTCACTAACAAAATTCTTCTATAAAGAATAAATATATAATAATTTTCTTTTAAATCAAAGTAAACACGTTGAGGGAGGCAGCTGAGGCAATGGCAGAGCAGATATTCTTCAACATTTTTTGGAAAAACATCAAGACGAAAAACTGAAAGGTTGGTTGAAATATCTCGAAATCTGAAGAACTAGTTCACACACAAGCAGACGAATAGATAGGAAGACGGACAAACGGCGGCTAAGCTCGTCATTTTGATGCGATCGGACCAAAGTTAATAAATCAGTTCAGTTACATGAAAGAGATTAAAAATAAAAATCGAGTACCTTATTTATAGACTTCATTGGTGGTTACATGTGAAATGAACCCTAATGACAGAAGAATATTTATGGCATAGCAATGGAATTCATGTCCACTTCTAGATGGCCCAATTTAATATGTTCTCTACGAGCTTCTTTCTCAACACAAGTATGAAAGAACATTTAATAATTCTGATGAAAAAGATGATTCACGATGTGGAAGTCCAATTGTCGAAAATTTCGCTAAAGTCGTGGAAATCGCCGACTACCCAGGGGCAAAACATCGCACAGAAAACATTTAGGAACCACTTGAAAAATGCTGGATATACAAAGAGCTCGTTGTGAGGCGAGTGGTGACTGGGGATCGCTTACAGCAACATCAAATGAAAACGGTCGTGGTGCAATGTTAGTGAGCCAGTGTTGACGGCCAGGAAGGTTTCATTGTGTATTTAGTGGAATTTGCAAGAAATAATCCACAATTAACTGTCTCCCTCAAGACCAAAAAACTCTCGCTTCGTACGTGAACTGTCAGCAATTGGACTGTTTGAAGGAAGCAATCGCTCACAAGCGCCCAGCTTTGCCCAATAGGCGAAGAATGCTGTCGTCAGGGCAGTGTCAGTCCAAAGCATCCAACTTAAAGTTCGGAACTCGCACCAAATGATTGCCATCTATTTCTGCCTTTAACTATTGAGTATTTTGGTAAAAAATTGGCCTAAGAGGATTTTACCTTCGAAACTTTACCTTGTCAAGCAATGCAGTGTATATGGTACATAAATCAGATAAATGTAATTATTTTATATAAAGCCTTCAATGAAATAATAGATTACTTTTCACTAGAGCTAATATTTTAATGGAGAATGATTATTTCAAAGTACCAAAAATTAAAAACCGCGCGATATGTTTGGACCTCAGATTCGCGAGAAAAATTATTATTTTTTCATATACATATATGTATGTAAGTATTATTATCCCATAGTCATCATGCAAGTAGTAATGATAATTAAGAAAATATCATTAAATATTACAGCATACTTTTAGGCGTTTTCTTGCTCATTATGCCAACTGAAAGTGTAGTCACTAGCAGCCTACCATTAACACATACACTCATGAGATGCACACTCAATAAGTAGCTAAATCCAATTTTATAT